GGCAAAGCCAAAACTAAAAACACATCTTTTGGTTCCTAGTTTAGTGCTATTTCTAGCAGGACTCTGTGCCCACTATTCAATTTAGCACTGTCTTTCAAGTTAAGATTTTCCCATTTAAAGAGTACACAAGAGGGACTTAACTGGCTGTCCAGTGTTTAAAACTACGTCTTCCAATGCAGGGGGTGTGGATTCCATCCCTGGTTGGGGAGCTAAGATCCCACAAGCCTCGTGGCCAAAAAACCAAAACATAAAACAAAAGCACTATTGCAACGAATTCAATAAAGCCTTGAAGAAATGATGTTTTGTCACTAAGTCATGTCTGACTCTGCAACCCCATGGACTGCAGCACAGCAGACTTTTAAAATGGTCCACATCAAAGAACTTTAAAAATAAAATAAAATCAACAACAAAAAAAAAAGTACACAAGAAACTGTTACCTCCTTATAAGGCTACTCCTTCCCTCCCCTCAATATCAAGGAAAGTAAGATTTAAGGTTAAGCTACAGAATCCCTTAATCCTTCACACCACCACCACTATTGCCAAGCATGATTTAAGGGACCTTGGAGCTCTGGCACTTCTGGAAAGACAGCCCCTCTGGCCTTAACTCTGTTCACAACATGACTGAAAGAGGATGTACAAGTGCAGCACACTTCTAGTGAGACTTTCATTCTATCACAGACACCTCATCTACTCATCCCAAGCCAACCCTTAAACCTCACCTCACCACTGACAAGATGACTATCATAAGAACTGACTATACACCTCCCCCTGAGAGTACTAATTCTATCATGTCCTATATCTCTGCTTACAACACTAGCCACAAGAATACTTGGCCTCCAGATCATCCCTCAGCATAGGGATTCTTACCCTATTACTGTCTTCTACATTGCCTAATTTGAATCAGACTCTAACCCCCAAAACAACTTTTAACTTCTTCCACTGTGATCTCTGGAATTCAGGATCCATCATCAACAAAATCCCATTGCTGTAGACTGAATGCTTGTACCCTCCCAAAATTCACATGTTGGAACCTAATCCCCAGTGTGATGGTATCTGGATGTGCGGCCTTCAAGGAAGTGATTAGGTTTTTTGGGCAGACCCCTCATAAATGGGATTAATGCCTTTATAAAAGAGGCCTCAGAGAGCTTCCTGGCCCCTTCTGTCATGTGAAGACAGAGCAAGAAGACACCAGAAGCAGTTTTTCACCAGAATCTGTGTGTCTCAGTCTTAGGCTTCCCACCCTCCAGAATTGTGAAAAATAAATGTTCACTGTTTATAAGCCACCCAGTCTATGGTATTTTGTTACCACAGCCTGAACAGACTAAGACACTCCTATATCCTTCAACCTCTTTGACAGACGTTTCTTTCACCTCTTTTATCTAACTGAAACTTGGCTACCTCTTGAGAAAAAGCATGCTTCTTTTTTTTTTTTTCCATTTATTTTTATTAGTTGGAGGCTAATTACTTTACAACATTGCAGTGGTTTTTGTCATACATTGAAATGAATTAGCCATGGATTTACATGTATTCCCCATCCCGGTCC